TGTTTAGACTGGATTTGGCATTTTTATCCATCTATCAAATCCTTCCCAAGGACCTGGGATAGGCAGATGTCGTTTGATGGTGTTAAAGGTATTGTCGCAGGATATAACCTGTTCCAAGTAAAGCTGCCTTTTGCAATTGACTGATGGTGACTGCCTGAAGGATGCCCAGGTATTTGTAGTGATTTTCTTCATCCAGACTCTTGATATTATTTCCATTGGGCATCTTGATTCCTTCAGTTTTTATTAGCATTAGCATTAGTATTATTAGTATCATCCTCTGTATTCCAAGGGAGAGGTGGTGCCTGGATGAAGAACAATTAAACAAAACAATGAAAATAATAAAGGGATATTTATGTTTAGCTGTATAACAATTAAAGCAACATTTATTTGATGAAATATTCCAGAATATTGATATAGCCATTGAGAAGGCCCTGTTCTCTCATACAACCTGAATATTTGATCTTTAACCATGGTAGACCATAGTTACCATAGGCAAAAGGCCTATCCAGAAATTATAGGGGAGCAAGCTGGCAATTATGAGAAGAGGCCCTGCCAATCATTTCTTGAACTCAAGCCATTTAATCCCTATTTTGCACCATGTTTTATCTGGCTATGTATCACAGACACTGCCCACTTCGAACAAATAGTGGTTTTCAAAGACTCAGTCTTCTGGTCTTGAACATGCTCTTCATAGTTCTTTGTTTAATTCATATTCCGATTTCCATGTCATGTTATGCCAGAATACTGTTTATTGACTCAAGAGTTCTTGAATGCCTTCCTGATCTATTGGAATCGAGTTTCCAGGATCCTCAGCTAACTGGAGGATTCTAGGTCGAAGGAGGTATTTCTGGACACCAGACCATAGTTGAATCCAGACTGAGGATTCAAAGAAAAATCATAGTGAGTTTCATCTGATGATCTGACTTAATCCTGGATGTACATTCTCTTCTTTTTAGATTATGTTCCAGGCTTATGGTGATAAGCAAGGGCCCCTACATGGAATGCTGATCAATACTCCTTATGTGACAAAGGACTTACTCCAGTCTAAGAGATTCCAGGCCCAGTCGCTGGGGACAACATATGTATATGATATTCCTGAAATGTTTCGGCAGGTAAGAACTGTTGAAGGAACTTCTGCTCTCTTAGTTTTAAATTTGGATAGATGAAGAAGAGCTAATTCACCAACCTGTTTCCAGTCATGCTCTATCAGATATCTTTAGACCTGAGTATCAAAGATGACCTCCGTGGGTGCCGCTGTCCTGTCCCGGGCCAAACGTGCACAAACCCACACGAGAGGTGGTTGCACACTTTATGGTTGGTCTTGTTAAACAATTGCCTAAGCATCAGGGATAGTGTGAGTGCAACATCCATGCACAAACAAACAGGAAGGAAGTCCTGAAAGTCAAACAAGCTTGTGTTACCAAGTCCAAAGCAGTGGGCACTCAGTGACTGGAAACAGTTAATGGACTTTTTGTGGAAAACAGAAGAAAAAAAAAACTTGTGATTTATGAGTTTGATGATTAGAATGGGCAGAATATGGAAAGAAGAGATGATGTAACCTTAGAGACAGAGGATAAAATACAAATGCATTTCTGCCTGCTGTAAAGAAGATTGGAAGCTACTTCTTTATATCTTTTTTCTTTTACTCTGTCTTTTTTTCTTTTATTTCTTTACTATTTATTCACTAC